TCGAGTTGCCACAGTGGTGCAGGCATATGGAAGGCTCTGGGCTCAGTGGAATTGTGGGGGGCGATTGGGAAGGATAAAAGGGGCAGAGAAGAGGAAGGAGGAAGAAGATAAAGAGAAGGTAGAAGGAGGGGAAGAGGAAAAATATTATTTGCTTTTTGTTAAATAAATTATATAAAATGGAAATGAAAGAATAATTAAACAGTTAAACGTAAATGTAGCTCTTTTCCTACATAGGAGAAGTTTTGTGTTTGTGGCTGATGGGGACACAGTTGGTCCAAAAGCAGACAACGGTTGACCATGGGGTACCCAGTTCCAGCTGATATCCACAAAATGACCCCTAAGTCTAAGGCTCTGGGAATGCATGGAAGAGGGCGCAGAGAGATTGTAAGAGCCAGAGGATCCGGACACCTGATGTGAGATAGGGTCTTGTATATTTCTCAGAAGCTGCAGCCATGAAATCTCAGCAGTCTTTACAATGACACTACAAACTAACACGCCAACGTGCATGGAGAAGTCTCATGTGGTTCCACCCCTAGGAGCTATAGTCAACCAATGGCTGCTGAGAGAGAGAATCAGTCTTCCCTAGGGATGAACCTCCTAATTGGTTATCCAATACCAAGCAGTTGGGTCTAAAATATACATATACATGCAACACTAAATTGAAAATGAATAGCAAAATGTGGTATTTTATATTTAAAATGTTGGTCTTTCAGGTTTTGAATTGAAGAATACAGAAGGATCATGTCAGTTATTTCCCTGAATGAATTCTTTGTAACATAGAGTTCTGACATTTTAAAGAAGCAACTGATTTGCATGTTGGAAGTAGTAACATTTATTTTTCAAAGCATAGAGGAAGGAAAACCTTAAAATTAAAAGGATCTTAATTGGCTATCAACTTAAAACTAAGATCATATAGATAGAAACTCAGAATGTTTGAACACAGTATTTTGACTGCACATTCCAAGCAGTGCAAAGTTTAGTGCAGAGAAATTAAAATGTTCTGTTGGTAGACCCACTAATTGCTGGTGGGTTGGTACATTTTGGGATCATGCAAATGGACAGACAGATGGATGCAGAAAACCGGGGTCCTCACTGTTGGAATATGTGTGCAGAAGTATCGGGAAGTATGTGTTTCAGTCAGGATTGGCTCGGGATTTAAAAGAGGTGAATTATATTCCCCAGCTCTGTCTTCATGGATCAGTTAGTGACTTTGCTGCTCCATTGAATGTACCAAACTGTCATAGAGCCCAGGGACTGTTCTCTGAAGAAGCAAGCAGAAATCTTTAGATAAGTGATGGCCTCTGGAGCAGAAACATTACAGACAGTCTGGGGCATTGCAGCATGCCAGAGAAGAGGAGGACTAACAAGGACATATCATAAGGACCAAAGGGGCTGTGGCTCACAGGTTGAGATCCACTGCACTAGACTTTCCTAATGGCCTGGGTTGTGTCATTTTAAGGTAATGTCAACTTTCTTAGACGTTGCATAATATTGTGGATTTATATGAGAATATCTTTACTTTGAGCTATGCACACTGAAGAACTAATAGGTTAAATACCATAGCTTATTTTATAATATAATATTTTTATTATCTTTTTGAGAATGTTATACATTCATGCACCATATGTCGATCATACTCATCCATGACCCCCACCCCCCAACTCCCAACTCCTCTCAGATCTACCCCACCTCTCCGACACCATGTCACATGGTTTGCACCTTCTAGGACTGCCTCTGTTATATTTCCGTACACTTAGCTGTAGGTTGGCTAAGGTGGATGATGACCATAAAGAGCTGAGATATTTGTAGGGCACAGCAAAGTAAAAGTCCACTCAATTTTTTTTAAATCAACAGTTGTTTTCCTGATAAATCCCAGTGTCTCATGGACCAGGAGCTGCTCTCTAGCAATTATTCTGAGGACCCTCAAAGGTACTGGTGTGCTAAAATGACTGATCTTGAACTCTTCCACCTCAAAACTTTTGAGGATGGGTGAGAGCAACACAAAAGTCAGCGAGCCCCGTCTAGGAGGCTGCTCTCTGGCTCTTGGAGGGGAGGTTCAGGCAAGCAGCCCCTCGAGGGCTCCCACCTCAGTGTCTTCTCACTGTGAATGAGTTTCCAGGAAAAGGAGCCTATGGAGAAGGCAATCTGGCCCTGGCCTTCACGGATTGTCCACAGCAATCTTGATGCATGCCTTAGTTCTAGCTACTCAAGAGGCTGAGGCTGGAGGATGGCTTCAGCCAAGAGTTTAAGAGTAGCCTGGGGAATATATTGAGACAACACATTAACAAACAAAACCAAATACAAACTGCCAAAGAGTCTCCACACCCTGCTGGAACCTTCCAGGAGATTATGAGCTATGGCCTCAGAAGAGCGACAGACCAAGGAAGGGCGTCTTATGTGCTGGTGTCTTTAATATGATAATGTCCACACATCTCCCGAAGCAGGAATTGATGTTTTATTAATGTTGTTTACTATAAATTTAATTTCAAAGCACTGCTGTTCCCACATTGTTTTGATAACGGCTTTGTGGTGTGTTTGTTTTTCTCCTGGTGGTAAAACTGAGAAGGAGAGAGGACAAGACAGCTTTTAAAGGTAGGACTTGGGACTTGCTGTTGCCGATGGAGGTCATTCTCATAGTGCAGCTCAAAGTGGCCTGGGGAAGAGAATGCTTCTCTCTGAGGTGCTCCTTGGCTCTATCATGATGATTTGTCCACAAAGGCTCCTCCCTGCCAGCACCAGAGGATAGCCCTGGAATAGCAATCACCGACCACTCTCTGCCCACCACCCTGCTTCTCCCATCAGGACCCAGGTATACTGCCAATCCTTCAGGACCCTCAGCAGACTTTCCACAACTGGCACAATGGTTGGTAAGAGCATGGAGACAAATCCCACAACATCTGCTTGGCTGAGGTTTTGTACCAGAGGCTTTCTCTTCAGGACTTTTTTTCTGTGACTTACTGCAAATGTAATAGGCAGCTACGCTTATTGAAAGCCTGGTACTAGGTCTTGGGCCATTTTTTTTTTTAAATCTACCATCCCCTTTAATATTCACAATAAATTACAAGGTAGTATTAACATCAAGTTCATTTTATAAGTGAGAAAACCAATGTACTAAGAGATTAAAGAGGGTGCCCCAGGCATACTAGACTGGAGAGTCTGTCTTCTCAAAGAGTGTTGTTCCCTCTGTTGGAGATAGGGGCTCTGTATGTTTGAATAAAAAGTGGAACCAGATCTAGGACAAGCTGCAGCTGCCTCCCCTGGCGTGGAACATGTGTGATACATAACAAACCCTGGAGAGCTCTCCTCGGACCTGCCGGAAGTTGTAACAGGGCTTCCTCCACTTTGCTGGCCTACTTGTCATCCCTACCCAAACTCTCCTTAATCGCTTATACACAAATCTACATTGAATCCAATTCTAGAGAATTTAATGGGGCCGGCAATTAGCCAGGCTAAGGGGAAAACCAAAATAAACACACACTGAAGTGTTTTTTTAGGTATGTCTTAAAAATCACAAATTCTGTCATACAGAAGATGGTTACTGTTTGGAGTTCCATAAAGACTGTACTACAATCCTGGGATGAAACAACCAAGAAACTTAAGGCAAAGATAACTTATGGAGAAAGTAAAATTTAAGTAAAGTTTTGTAATAGGAGTAGAGGAACCTGTCCTGTAGACATGAAGGGAGATGTCGGTCTAAACAGAAGGAAAAGCATTGGCATGACAGGAAGATAGTTATATTCTCGATTTAAAAAGACTCCACAATCTAGTATCCTCAAGGTAGGAAACACATTCCAAGACGCAGTGCAAGAAGCAGACTCCATGGAGCCTTGTAGAGTGGGGGAGGTATGGTGAGGTGAGGGGAGATGGGCAGGGTGGGGGAGCGGAAGGGTGGAGTGGGATGGGGTGGTGAGGTGGGGAGGCAAGGTGGGATGGGATAGATGGGATGGAGTGGGTGGGGAGTGTGATGGGGCAGGGGTGAGGGGAGGAGGGATGAGTGGGTGGGAGGGGTGGAGGAGTGGGAAGACATTTGTAGGTTGATTTTCTAGCTTCTCTCCTCTCTCTTTCTCTCTCTCTCTCTCTCTCTCTCTCTCTCTCTCTCTCTCTCTCCCTCTCTCTCTCTCTCTCTCCCTTCCAGGTGTAGCTCATTGAAACAAGGAACACAAGAAGATAAGTCAGCCTAGAAGAGAACATTAGCTCATTTTTGCAGTACATGATATTTGAGATGCCTGCGGGACATCCAGGTGGATAATCAGCTTTGCGTGCATTCAATGTGCACGTTAAGCCTTAAGCGATTCTGTTTTTTTTTTTTTTTAAATTTGTACAGAATCAAGTTGTTTGGTTTTCAATTTCAACATGCTTAAACAATAAAATAACTGCCCTTTCCAGGAGGCATCTGAAGAGTTAAATCTTGGGTAGGAAGAGCGATAGAACATGAGGGGGACATGGGGGAGACATAGGGTTACCGTTAGCACATACTTATGGCAGAGCGGACACTGCTCCCAGCAACATAACCACTCTGGAATCACACCATGCACAGTCTGCTTCTAGGGAGATCTTGAGAACAATGGGAAGACGGAAGATGGAGAACAGGGTTAAGGAGTTTGATCCAGCAGTAAATTGCTTCCTGTGTAAGACCGAGGACCTGAGTTCAGATTCCCAGCATCCAAATAAAAAAATGTGTATGGCAGAGCATGCCTGCATTCCTAGTGGCGTGAATGCAGAGGCAGGAAGATCGTTGAGGCTTGATGACTCGCCTGTTTATTCATGAGCACCAAACCCCAAAGAGAGACCAGAATGAAAAAAAATAGAGAAGACACTTGCACCACTGAGCTGTAGCCTCCATGTGAATGCTCACACATGTACACACACATACACACACACACACACACACACACACACACACACACACACGCATGTCAACCTCACCACAGACTGGTATGTCCCCTGAGCACACTTCACCTTCTCTGTTCCCATAAACTGGCTCACCATCCCTCACTCACCATCCTCCTCGGTCTGTACCACCAGCTCCTCACTCTCCATCCGGCCCTCAGGGTTGGATAGCAGTAGCCGCAGTCTGATGGTCATGAAGGGCCGCAGACCCCGCAGGGTATAGTGGGAAGAGGTCTGGATCACCTCCTCAGCCTCGTACTGCTGCTGGTTGAACACGTACTGGTACTGCACCGTGAGGTTGTAGCTGTGGCAGCGGGTCACTGCGTAGCCAAAGGGTTCCCACTGCAGGGTCAGCTGCCTGGCCCGAATGTCCACAATCTCCACGTTCTGAGGGCCGTGCACAGGATCTGCAAAATATACACATGGTACGTGAGGTTTGAGGAGACTACAGGAAGTGGGTGGACATAGCTGCTCCTCCACGTGCATCTCAAAGTCCCCACGGTCTTTTGCGTCCTGCAGCACAATTTACATGAAACTTTCTTTTTAAACCAAATTCTTTTCTTTAAGCACACAGATCTAAGGCAAAACAAAAATAAATAGGGTGAAAATTTTTCTATTTCTTTCACAATGAAATGTGCCAGACACAAAAATATAAAATCAGGGATTCATCTGAGTCTCACTGACAACTGCGTCATTGACAACAACAATTTGCGATTTGTGATTTAGATGACTTGTGTAGTTCTGTGTTTAACTCAGCTAAGGCCTCTCTCCATAGAGCTGAGGGTCCCCCCTTTCCTCCCATCCAGATGCGCAATTTGGAACTTTGGTTTCACCACAAGCAGACATTCAACCTCCAATCAATCTGTATGACCACAATGTCGCAAGAGCTTGGCCTTTGAATTCACCTTCCCACTCTCACTTATGATAGGGAATTTACTAGCATCCTGCCACACTTCACTCTTCTTCTTGTCACCCCCACTTTCCCCATGAACACCATTCTACCAGTCCCCAGTACCCCAATACTGTACCTCACCTCCCTTTACACACTGATCTTTGTCCCAGATCCCCATATTTAACAATGATCATGTCATACTTCATAATCTATGCACTGATATTTATACTTTGCAAGAAATAAAGAGATGGTTTTGCACAAAAGTGATTAAAACAGACAAGAATAGTGAAGTAGGGTTCTGATCAGCATTTAACCCCATACTGCTTACAGGCCATCATCAAGTTGGGCCGTGTCTCTGAGTCTACCTTTTACTTCATTTGTAAATTAGTGATAATAGAAGCTAGCCCCACTGCAGGAGAGGGTGGAGCCGGATAAAACACCCTGAGCCATTAGAGTTGCACCTGGAATTAATAAGCACACCATATAGACTAGCTGGGGCTTAATTTTTATAGTAATAGGAAGAGTAATAAGAATAATAATCATCTTTCATATGCCATACACAATCTGAATGACTCATAAATTCCAGTTCTGGGTAGCACCATTATGCAGGGCACCAGACTAGGATATGGTCACCTCTCCAGTCCTCGAGTTCCCAGAGCTTTTGGAGTGCAGCTGCCTCTGCACCACAAGAAAGGCTATGGTGGGGACTCTTGACACCAACTTAGTTCCCTAATTCACCCCTATGGGAGAAGTGTAGTTCATAACAGAGCTTTGTCAAGGCACACACTTCACAAGTGTGTCAGAGAGGAGGGCGGTCCATCCCATAGATGTGCACACTGCTTAAATCAGTAGCTCTGGCCTTTCCTCGGCTGAGGAATTCACACCTCATTCTGCAGCTCAGTTATCCACGCGACAGCGTCCTTTGTGCAAAAAAAACATCCAGAGTCCCAAAAGCAAATGAGTGACTCGGTGAAAGGGACCGCGGACGAGATGCTCGGGACCCGGTATGCTGAACCTGTGTGGAGTGAGAGATAAAAGATGTGGGACTCACAGTTCAGGGCTGTGAACAGCCATGGCTATGACTGCTTGACTGGGTGTCTCTCTGTGGTCCAGTTTGCAGTGGCTGCAGACACATGGGCAGAGTGACAGAGGAAACATCCTGCCTGGGAAATGTCAGCAACCCTCCAGCTTTCGTCCTGCAGGAAATTTTCTCTCTACACACATTCCAGAACTCTGCCGGTGTACACCCCGAAGGAATACCTTTCAAACGCTCCTTCTCTGGGACCTTCTTCAAAACCAACACTGAACCCCAGGAAGATAGTTACCTCATGGGGCCCTCTAGTTCCTCATTAGAAAGTGAGAGCACAGATATTTAAGACTCAGATAAGGCTAAGGACATAGTTTTGTTACACATCTTAAATACTACAATATTCCATGTCAAAGAGAAGTGTTGAGGTGTTCAGTATGCTTTAAAAGTACAAATAAAATATCATCAGTGGAATAGCATTCAGAAAGTGTCTGTTCTATTTTCTGAATCAGGATGCTAGGAGGAAGGGATTGCCAACTCACTTGACAAATGAACAAATCAAAGCCTGGAGAGGTAAGGGAACTTGGAAAAAGTATCAAGTCTATCAAGGAGCAAAATGAGGCTTTGAATTTGTTTTTTTTTTTTAAGTTTATTAAATTATGAAAGTTTTCATTTCCGCCCCTCCTCCCAACACCCTCCCCCTCCCCCCACTCCCTCCTCCTCCCTCTTCATCCCTAAGAGCAGTCAGGGCTTCCAGCCCTGTGGGAAGTTCAAGTTCCTCCCCACTCCTTCCAGGTCCCTGAAGGTGAGTATCCGAACAGACTGGATCCCAAAAATTCAGCATATGCAGAGGAAACAAGTCCCAGTGTCATTGTCAGTGACTTTTCAGAAAGGCTCCGGACCAGTCACATTCAGAGATCCGGCCACATTCAGAAAATCTGGTTGGATCACATGCTCGTTCAGTCCCAGTCCAACTGGCCTTGGTGAACTCTCATTAGATCAGTCCCCTTGTATCAGTGGGTGATCGCACCCCTCGCGGTCCTGAGTTTTTTTCATGTTCTTCCTTTTTCTGCCCCTCATTTGGATCATGGGGGGCTCAGTCCGGTGCTCCAATGTGGGTCTCCATCTGTATAGCCATCCATCGTCAGATGAAGGATCTGGGACTCTTGTCTAGGCTTTGAATTTGAATCTAGTATATAAGGGAGATAAAAAGTGGGCCAGACCACCACAACCATGGAAGGAGTGCATGCTGGGCTTGATCAACCTCACAACTTGTGAGGAGGCATCAGAAGACCTACTCGAGAGGAAACCAAAGTGCTGAGAGATGAGATGCATGTCCTCAGGCCACACAGTGAGAGACAGGGCTGAGATTTACAGTCTGAGAAAGTCCCATTCCTTTGATTTTTCTCTATGTGGCCCCACCCGAGACAGGTCACAATAGAGCATAAACATGAGGCAGGCCACAGCCGTTGGGAATTTAGAAGAGACCTAGTGGAAAGCTAGGTAAAAAAAAAATTTTAACACAAAAATTGCTTTGTCCTTAGGAGCCTGGGACCTGCCATGAGCAGAGTCAATGCTGAGACTCAATGCTAAGCTGTACCCAGGCCTGTCTTCAACTTCCACCCTATTTTTCTGCAACCCAACTGTACAGATGCACATATAAACATCTTCCTGACTTCCTGTGAGGGACCTTATCCCGGAGCCTTCCTTCCCTCTTCTCATGGGGTGCAAGGAGAGTGGGAAGCCTGTCACACAGCAAAGAGCTTCCCTCTGGTTTAGGAATTTGGGGGCACAGGTGTAGACCCTGGTTCTCTGGAGAACACAGGATTAAGCTGGAACATAGCTGGAAGCCAGAGTCTGGCGCACAATAGCTAAGTGACCTTGGCCAAGGGCACTCCATCTTTCTGCCTCCATCTCCTCATCTATAACATGGAAATTACTGCACTAATCTCAGAGGGCTGCTAATGAGCATAAAATGAACTGTAAAGAGAGAAAATTGCCTTTCTCTAACAGTGGGGATTCCTCTTATACAGAGCTGCCTCTCTTGGAGAAATGCCCGACGAAGCCTTTAAAAGTTTTTCTTTCTTCTTGAGCATTTCATACATGTATACAATAAAATACCACATCTATTCCCATTTTCCCCTCCAACTCGCCCCATGTTCCCCCAACACAACCCCTTCCAAACTTCACATCTTTTTGTTATTGTTTATAGCCCACTAGGTCCAGTCATTGCTACCCACATGTATGGGAGTGTTTTAAGAATAGGAGCTGCATTCCCAGGGCCTTGCTTGCATCCCTACTAAAGTCTTCATGGGAAGACAAACAACAAGGTCTTAGGGGTTGGATAAATTAGGACAGGTAGGGAAGTGAATAAATATTAGAATGTTGGGAGGACCCACAAATATGACTGCTTTCCATGTGACTCCTCTTCAGGTGTCACAAAAATATTTACTATGACTGGACTCCAGACAGAAGTGAGGCATGCTTGCACACTTCGGCCAGATATGACTCTTCACAGCATCACCAGGAAAAGGGGACTCAGAACACATCTGTCCACTAAAGAGACCTTGGGAGATGATTGTAGAGGTTCCCCCTGCCTATGGAAATTAAGAGATTTCAGGAAATATAAGTTCAAAGGCAGTAAGCTGGGGCTCTAGTGGCCCCCTGGGTAAGCTAAATGCTGTTGAAAGTGTCTTGTGACCGTGGTCATTCACATTCTAGAAAACAAAGGCGTTGTCTATGAGGCAGGAGCTCTGGGCTAGGTAGCGCTTCAGCATCTGCCTTTGGGATTTGCCTGTGGTCTATGTCCCTGAGGTTCCATGGCGGAACACAGCCCTAGCTCCAAGCACCATTGTCCATCATAATTAGCACTTGTCACACTGCCCAGGAACTGCTTGTTTATACATTTGTCTCCCAGATTGCCAATGACAATGTTCTGTTTGTCTAGCATCTTTGGGATCTGTCGTGCGGGCTTCCTAGGAGATGACCAGATGGTGGTTTCTTCTAGGAAACTGAGTTCCAGTCACTTGTTTCCACTCCTCCTCCTCTATTCACGCCAGCACATCGGCAGGATGTCCGAGGCACGCGTTTCTTTTCTTTTTTTTTTTTTTTTTTTTGCTTTGTTTTCAACCGAGAGGAGACCCTGAAATCCTACACGAGAAAAACTAGTTTTCAGAATGTGTGATGGGAACACTCACGCTTTCAATGTGATGACCCCCCCACCTCCCAAATAGCTTCACCCGCCAAACTGAAAGGCTGCTCCAGTAATTGCCTTCCATGGTCAAAGTCCTGGGTTTACATTTGGGTCGGCGCAAACAAGTTGAAATTGCTGAGAAAGTCTTGTGTGTGCAGTAGAGATTGGTTTGTTGAATTTATATCCCCCGTGTAAATACATCCAAGCCTACAGCCTCTGGTCTCTGCTTCCAGATAAGGTCCTGTCCATGTGACCTTCTTCAGTAACAGCCTACAGGCCAAGAAGACAGCAGACAGAGCCCAGAGCTGCTGGCTCATGTGAGCCTCTGAAAGTTATTCTCTTATGGAAAATCAAAGTGGCTCTCATCCCAATACCTTTGCAGTGCAGCCATGGACTTGGTTCTGAGTCCCATATTGGATCCTGTCAGACTGACTTCTTCCCAGGACAAGGGCTCAGCAGTGAGTGCATTGTGCCCACCTGTCCCCTGATCTCCCTTCTGAACATGCTTCACATCACTGAAACCCTAAAATTTTCTGTCTCCATATCTCCAAACTCATTGCAGGTCCTGTGAGGCCTACTTTCCTTAGTTGTCCCTTCTTGTGAGCACTGCTAGGGCAAAGAATAGCTGAGAAGAGGAGCAGAGAGAGCTTGAATTTGAGGCCTGAGGTCTTCACACATATTTGCACAAGTCCTGGATGAGAGAAACAGGGTTGGATCAAAGGAGAATCGAAACCGGTCACAGGCTTCCATTTGTCCTTTTATTTCAGGGTCATTAAGGATTTTGCAAGTGCTAGGTGCAGGTAGGTGTGTGTGTGTGTGTGTGTGTGTGTGTGTGTGTGTGTGTGTCCCTAACATTTTAAGAAACTATTGCCACCTCCAAAAGGAAGCTTAACTTCTTGACTGGGACCTTCCTACCTCAATTCCCTCTGTCTCTGTTTCTACTATTCATACATCAAAC